AAAAAAAAAAAAACCCAGCAACTATTGATCCTTCTAAGGATGATGGAAAGGACCTAATAAATACAATTGTGCAAGAATGACCCAAAGAGGTGGGCAGTGGGTGGGGGAATCAGGAAGGATCAATCAGAATAAGACTTCATGATTCCCAAGGCAAAGGATGAAAAAATGAAATCATCTGTTGGGGTGGGGAGAGCAGAAAAGTGCCATCCACAAATGAAATATTAACTATTCAATCATATTGCCTGTTCAGAGCACACAGCAGGATGGAATGGAATGACTGAGGAGTTCATAGAAGATGGGGAAGGGTCCAAACTGACATTTTGAAACAGTGATGACTTGGACAGTCATCATAGCATGTACTGAGTCTGTACTAAATGCCAAGTGTATTACAGTGTTCCACGGAGCCTCACCACAAACCTGGGGGTGAGTATTACTAATAACTATTCTCATGATAGAGATGAGAAAATTAGGATGCAGAAAGGGGCAGCTACTGTCCCAAGGTCACACAGCAAATGAAGGGTGAGGTCTGGGATTTGAACACAGCATTGTCCCAGGTGTTTGTAGGACACATTTAGATGATATAAGGAAAATTCCTGACCTCAGGAGTTACCTCAACAAACACCGTGCCTGTGAATTAAGCCAATTGGAAATTCCTCAAACAGCCAAGAACCACTGATTCCTTAGCCTGCTCCTGCTCCATCTAAACATGCCGGGGTCCCACCACCCAGCTCAGGAGTCACTGCAACATTTCCCTGCCAGCTGCCAGTGGAGACAGGGGTCCGCCACCCACCACCCGTCACACCCAGCTCCACCAGGGCAAGGCAGTGGGCTGGAGATCATGTCAGCAAACACAGACCTCCCCCAGCAGCAGAACTCACCAGCTGGGGCTGCTGAAGAGCTCCCTCCAGGCAGAACTCAAAACCTGAGGATAAATGACCTGCAAAATTAGAACAAAGGCAAGGTGGAATGGGACAGGCATGAGGGTGAAGGTGAAGGGAAAAGGGAAAAAAGGTGCACAGCAGAGAAAGGGGGATGGTGAGGCCGTGAGGAAGAACAGAGCACTGACATTCTGCAACGCTTTACACGCATCGTACCGCGGATCTTGATGGCAATTCCTGTCAAATTAGAAAGACAACCCTTGGAAGAAAGATGATAATGAGGACTTTCAGTCTGTGGGAGAGGAATTGAAATCAGATCCAATAACCTAAAGAGCTTGTTTCCCCCTGGGAAGCTTGAAGGCTTAATTAAAGAATGTTTGTAAAGCTTGAAAGATTCTCGGAAAAAGATACCCAGGGAAAAGTAAGAGGTCACAGAATTGACTATTCAACCCTGGAGTCGTCAGCAGGCTTTTTTCCCCCCTGAAGCTCACCAGTGTTTTGCTGGAGTCAAACTTTGGGCTCCTAGAATACTTTCTTTGAACATGGATATCTTTACCAGGGAGCAAATATTTTTTCCTACCTGAGCTTCCTTCCTGCCTAATTTATCCACTTCTGGCTGTAATTTACATAAAAGCAACAAGTCCTTTCCAAGTAAAATTGACAAGAAAAATTCTGCTCAGCCTGGCTTTCCTGGCATTCTGTCCCTCATTTTCCTCTTTTCCCAACAAAACAACCCCAAACTTCATTCTGTGTAAAATGACATCAAAGGAAGCCACTCAAATCAGCACACTGTCAGCAATTAAATGTGATCCAAAAATCATGAAAGGGCTGAACTTGGTTTTACATTGATGTACATGATAATATAATAAATGCCAGAGCCCAGAATCTCATTAGTGTCCCCAACCCGTTCTCTGAGTCCGTAGAAGATCGCTGACCTTTAAAATTACCCTGATTAGCGAAACCTCTCACATCTCCCAGCCAGGGCATCCCATTCGCCTGGCATCCAGGAAATTGGAATGGGCACTGATGTGGGGCAGACGGTGAGAGGACCCTGGGGCTAAATGCAGGGTGGTCTTCTGGGAGGCAGCCAAACCTGTACAACCCAAGACTGCACAAAGGGGGAGATTCCCAAGGGCAGTCTTCTCTCCCTATTCAGGCTTTTGTAAACTCACTTCGTAACTGTAACTATCTTTGCCAGATAATCAGACCCAGTCCTGAAACCCCAGGCCAGGGTCTCACCACCTCGGTACTGAGGACCGAGAATACACAAATAAACCCAGAGCAAGAACCCAGGGTCCCCTGGACCTTACCTGCACGCTGCTTTGTCCTTGGATGGCTTCTGGCAGAACAGGTTGTAGGGTAGTGGCAGGTGGCCAGTCCAAGAGTCAGCCCTGACTCCAGCTCAGAGAGGTGCCAGAAAGCGAGCTGAGCGCTACCAAAGCCCCTTAGAATGCCAGTTCTGGTGCTTCATCCCCCCTTTTATGGACTACAGCCTCCCCTGTCGCTCAGCCCTCGCTGAGCACAGGCTGCTCAGAGCCAATGGGGAAGGAAGTAGCTCAGAGCAGTCAGAGCTCAGACCCCCAGGCCCTTCCACTCAACTCCCGCCTGACACAATAGCTTCTCTTCGTGATGTGGAGGAGGGAGCAGCCGGTTGTGGGTGGGAGTGGATTCTGGGTGTAGTGCTGTTTGTCACTTGAAATCCGGCCACTTCAGTGTTTGATGCATTTCCAGGAGAATGTCACAGGCAAAAGGAGACAGAGGTAGGGGAAGAGAGAGACAGGGCGAGTTAGAGAAAGAGAGATGGAGAAATAGTGAGAGGCAACAGTTAAACAGAGTCAGACAGCCAGATAGATACAGAGACAAATGGAGAGACACAGAGTGAAACAGAGAGAATTGGGAACAGAAAGAGGCAATGTCGCAGAGCTGAGAAGCAATGAAGACAAATCTAGGAAGAAAGAGAAAGGCTCAGAGACAACCAAGCAAGTGTAAGATAGGTAACACATAGAGAGACAGGAAGACCCAGAGAGTCAGACGCAGGGAGATAAGGAAACCAAGGAAGGAGACAGACTCAAAACAGGGACAGAGGAACAGACAGGCGCAGAGTGGGAAGCCGGTGAGGCTCCTGATGATGGTGGAGAAAGGGACCGGGGAGGCAGCAGGCACATGTGCTGCCCTGTGTTGGTGCCTGTGTGTGCTGAGGTGTTTCTGTGTACATTTGCCATGAACACCAGGAGACTCTGGTACATGCTGAGCAGCACCAGGCACTCAAGCCCTGGCAGGCACACAGCCCTGCAGCCTGGAGCTGCCATTCAGTTTTCGCTGGCAGCAACATAGAGTGAAATCCCCCTCAAAATATGGGCTGTGATGTGCCTTTGCACACACCAAGTGGGGACTTGCCTGCCTCCTGTGCCCTGGGCCATGCCAGCAGCAGCTGGAAGGCTGTGCTCTACATGGCTGCAGGACCCTTCAGCACACAGGGGTCTCTGAGTTGGGAAGGAAACGAGCTTCTTTCCTTGGTTGGCAGCAGTCAAGTGGTTCACAGAGGTAGGCACAGCAGTCAGAAGCTGGTGGGGCTGCCCATCTCCTGGTACCTCTGCTGCACCAGGCAGTGAGCTGAAGTTGTAGAGTTCAATCCTCATAACCTGGCCAGGTGGTTAATGTCTCCTTCATCCTGTAGGTGAGGAAACTGAGGCTTGAGGGCTGAGAAATGTGCCTGACAGCCTGCACCAAGCCAGTCATGGAGCTAGCATGGAAACCCAGGTTCCTCTGACCCCAAAGTTCCTGCTCACTGCCTGAACTGTCCCTGGGCAGGAGGCCTTCAATCTGCAGTTCCCCTCCCCCAGGTTCCTTGTATGGGACTCAGTCTCTCTGCCTGTACAGTGTAGAACAACATTGGCAACATGGGTTTGATTCTCTGCTCTGCCACAAGCCAGTGGAGAGAATTTAGCTAAGTTAGTAACCCCAGACTCAGTTTTTGCTCATCTGTGAAATGGGGCCAAGATTGCATCCAGCTCTTTCAAGGGTGAAACAAGGATCTGGCATCAGCACTCAACCCAGTAGCACTGGGTGAGCTCTATTACTACTGTCCTTGTGGCTACTCACTCTGATCTAGCTCTGACACATCTCATTTCTCCAGGGCCGAATCCCCTCCCTGCATGGGGGTCATTGCAGGAGGATGACAGAGCACCTATATGTGTCTGACATTACCACATGCTCCATTGTCTCCCCACCAAAAAGCTGAGGCATGCCTATCACAATGCATCCTCGCCCCATAAGGAGCACAAGTTCAGAGGTGCAGCCACACAGCGGGGAGGGGCCCTGTTCCCCACAATCCCTTCAGCTTGGAGACAGGGCCCAGGCTTGATTTCCAGCCACCCCACTTGCTTTCTTCAGACAGCATATGGTCTCTGACAGGTGGAGACAAAAGACTTCCCAGGCCCTGGGTGGAAGCCTCTGCCCCAGTGCCTGGTGGCTACAGCCCCGCCACATCTGTGGCTGTCTTTCTGCCTGGCACCCTGGAGGACTTGATGTGGTCTGTTCACTGTTACTGGGCACTGGGGAGCCTGGAAATGAGCTGCTTCTTCATTCCTAAGGCCAAATACTCACATCAGATGCTCTCAGTCCTGCTTATCCCCACAGCCCCAAGTTCCACTTCTATAAGCTCTTGGCAATAACCTTGGAATAGACAAAGGCTCTAAGAGACAGGCATGATGGCTGCAAAGGCTGGAAGTCATCAGGTACTGAAAGCAGAGAGGAGTTGAGCCCCTCTGGGCTGCTATCACCACAAAGAGAAGTAAGGACAGTGAGGTAGAAGTGCTCATGCATGATCCCACTCAAAGCGGCGCTGTGCATGTAATGGCCTTCACCTGGGTCCACTGTCAGTCTTAAGAACAAACAGTTTATGCCTTTGCTTTTCTTCTCCTGTCCTTCATATGCACACACACGCACATACACCTATGTACACACATGCATACGTGCACATAAACACCCTCACAAACACACATACACACATGCACAAGAAAGCTAGGAGCAGCCTCTTAGTCCTAGAACCTCAACATAAAGCTCATCTCTCTCTTGGGCTCAGTGACACTTAAGGTCGCACCTCAGACCCAGTGGGCAGCAGCACAGGAGTGAGTTACATTGGGCTCCACCAGCCTCGCTCAGGCCTGGGTCCTACAGTTCTGCTTCCTTGTTGTGTGACAACAGATGCATACTTTGCCTCTCTGAGCGCCTGAGTCATCATCTGGGCCTAGAAGGATGCTTCCAGCTTTGTGTGCTTCTCCCTCCTTGCCCATCCTTAGTGTCCCATGATCTCCAATTCAGATCCTGGGGTGAGAAAAAGGCAAAGAATAAAGAGAAAGAAAGACTAGAAACAACCAGCCCCCAAATTAGCCTGTTAGGAAGGATTCAGGAAGAACATGGCAGAAGACAGGATGGTAAAATAAATAAACAATGCCAGCATTTTTTTTTAAAGTAGGTGTAGAATTGGTGCATATTGGTTACATAGAATAACGGTTTCATTGGGGTATATACTTATAAGTATGTAACACCCTTTGATCATTTCCATCTCTCCCTTCTTTCCCTTCTCCTTGCTTATCAACCCCCTTGCTCCATCCCTCCCCTTTTTCCCTTCCTCTTCTCTAATAGTCCCCCTTTCATGCTCTCTCTCTCCCTCTTTCTCTCACTCTCCCTCCTCCATGATATTTCTATTCCTCAGTCTGACTTATTTCGCCTACCATGATGATCTCTAGTTCCATCCTTTTTCCTGCAAATGACACAATTGCCCTTTTCTTTATGGCTGAATAGTACTCCATCATGTATATACACCACACTTTCCTTACCCATTCATCTGCTGACAACCCCCCAGGATGTTCCCATGGCTTAGCTATTGGCATTTCTTGAGTGCTTCCTACATGCTGGGCCCTGCTGTGAGCTCTTTACATTTATCAAACACCCTACAATAAAGAGGGTCCTCCTGACAGGTAAGGACACGGAGGCTAGAAGAATGAAGTCATTTGCATAAAGTCACATGGCTGCAGAGTGACAGCTCACAGTCTGACCCCAAATCAAGCCCTGGCTTGCTGTTGTCTCAAGCACAAAGCTGCTGACTTCTCTATTCACCTGTCGTCCTTGGAAGGCATTGGCAAAGGGCGTGGATCACTCAGGACTTTGGTGGTATCTTGTCTCTGTCCTTGGTCATCTTCAAGTTTTCTGGTTCACTTTTCATGCATAGTGTGTCCATGTGAGAGCCAGAGGACCCCCGCAGGGCCTGGATGCGGAGAGCACCAAACCCCACTGCTCCAGACCCCACTGCCAAGCCATGTTTGCTGGAAGAGCAAAGGGAGGCTGCAGAGGATGGAAACTGGTTCTCCATTTGGACAAACTGCCAGCAGGTGTGGAGAAGCCAGTTACTCATCTCCATCTGGTCCCTGAGCATTTCTTCATGCTTTGATACTGGTTATTCAGATTCAAATCCAACATGATTCCTGCCTTCCTCTAGCTCATAATGCCACGGGACACAGGTGTAGCCATCCAAAGTTACTCAATAAATGCAAAATCAAAGTAATACAAGCAGTAATAGAATCAAAGTAATAGAAGCAGTAGAGATTAACTCTGTCTGGGAATGAAAGGAACATTCAAGAAAGACTCCCTCAAGAGGTAAGGTAGGTTTTGAAGGATGAATAGGAATTTGTCAAACAAAGAAAAAGTCTCCCAATACACCTCAAAGAACTAATGTTGAAGATGTGGAGAAATTGGAAACCTCAAGTAAAATGATGTTACCATTGTGAGAAAAATTCTGATAGTTTCTCCAGATGTTAAACATAAAGTTAACTATATGACCCAGCAATTCTACTCCTAGGTATAAACTGAAAAGGACTGGAAATAGGACCATGATGGGACCATCCTTTAGGAACTATCTTTGCTGCAAATAACAAAAACCCAAGTAAGGTGTCTTGAAACATAGGGGTGTTTGTTGTTCACAAGGCATGAAGTTAAGAGGTCTTCAGTCCCTGGCTTGGCCTGAGAGTTTATGAGCTCCTTGGGAGATTAAATCACTTTGGAAATTCCTGAGTCCTCTCGTTCCTTCTCTCCCATAGGATGTGTTGTTGGCTTTCATCCTCGGGCTTCTTGCTTTCTGGTTCCCTGGCTGCAGGCCGAAGCATCAGGTGCTCAGTTAACCTCACTTGGGCTCAGGAAGTGGTAAAGAGGGAAATGGCAGGGCCTCCTCCCATGCTCTTCATTCCTTTGATCACGGCAGGACATCTTCCCAGAAACACCTCTGTAACCCTAATCACCACCACAAGACTGGTCACGTGACAGTCCCTAGCTGTGAATAAGGCTGGATCAGTGAGATTCTGCCTTTCTGGGTATCTGGTATCTGGTAAGAAGCAGGGGTTGGAATAGTTAGGGCCAAGCCAACCAACTCCACTTGGTACAATAAGAACTTTGTTGTAGTCTCTCAACCACGATTCAGACAGATGCCAGCAGCTGAGCCATGCACTGAAATTGGAGAGCATCCAATTCCCCATTAGCAAAGCTTTCTCTCTCTCCCATTTTGCCCCAGCTGCTCCCACTGGCTCACAGCTTTCTGGCCCCTGGCTAATAGTTATTGTCTGTCTCCTTGGCAATGGCCTCTCAGCTAAGTCATCTCTGTGTAGTATCTCATTTAACCCATACAGTAAACCAATAAGGTGGTTATTATTGTTGTCTTCATCTGCCAGAGCAAGAAACTGAACTTGGAGAGATAGTGACTTGCCTAAGATCACACAGCTCATGAGAAAAATAGATGCCACATTTATCTGACTCCAAAGCCTGGGTTTTGAGCTACTACCTCACAGAGGCAAGCTGATATCCAACTGTGGCAAATGCATAAATTCTATGATTCACTGAGAGCCAATGCCAGGCACAATGGAGAGAACAGGGATAAGTGTCCTTCAGCATCCTCTCTGTAACTCTGATGCATAGGTGTG